TGTCAACACCATAGAGATGATCAGTTTTATACGGTGTCATTAATGATGATACTTCAGTGAATGGAAGCCAAGATAGTCATTCAAAGCAGCCCCTTCAGCTCCCCTCATAAAAAAAATGTGTGAACTAAAACATAGCCACATCTGTACTACAGCTAGAAAAGCAGCAGCACAGAGATTCAAGAAAGCTAAAGTTGTCTTGCCAAGAACTACTGGTGCTGCATGAAAGGAAGTTCCATGATCCTACTACTTCATTTAATTCTACCTTTAATGCTACCTCAAATAACTCTAAGCAACACTGCAGTCTGAACTACTGACTCCTACAGAGAAAATAGCTGCAAAACCAAACAAAAACTGATGGAAGACCTTGATGAGATTGGAAGGAATAAGAAAGCAAGAATTTTGAGGAGATTCCTTTTCACCTAGCAAAAAAATGCCTCACCTGGCTTTGTGTAAGTCTCCTATGTATTGATGTGGAGGAGAAAGTGATTGTCAGGTTGTCTTAGTTATACTCAGAGTCAGTCCTTCAGTGCAATACAGAGATGTGTGTGTATGTGGATTAGAATGCAAAATAAACACCTTTCTTACTGGTAAAATAACCTTAACAGCAGAGGTTAGTTGGATAAACTAACTTTTGGATAACTTGGCATGGGTCCAACACTTTAATATTCATCCCACCATTCTGAAGAGCTTCCAGAAAAACGTGCTCTGTTTCACCCACAAGATCATGAGCTCAGTGCTGGAATCAGAGTGAAATTCTACTGGCAGTGTAATTCAGGAGATTGGATTATATAGAAACATTCGTCCCTCTTGCTTTACATTTATGAATAAGTAAGAGTATAATTTTGGTAGTTCTGTTTTAATTTCCTATTACTAGCTGCATTATGAAGTCTCTCTGAGAAGTTTATGAAATTCTTTTCAAAGCCATTTCTCTTTCTGTCTACATCCCTTCCTCAAAGTTAAGATGTGATATCTAAAATTAAAAATGTTGTCTGGCATATGGGTCTCTCAAAAACACATTTTGGAAAGCAAGAGCCAAAAAGACTCATTTAACTGTGCAGCCACTAAGTCCAAAATGAATAAAAACCCTCTAGACTTAATTTTCTGATAACAAAATCTTTTTAGAACTTTTTGTTGTAGAACCCCGTATTTTTGACCATAAGATTTCTCTTTTCATTTAAAGGTAAACAGAAACAAGTCAATCACTTTATAAGGAAAAATTCTAAATACTGAATAAAGATAGAAATTTGCAGTGGGCCAATTTTGATGTAGTTTCAATCACTTTTATTGGAAGCTTTCTATTTTTTGTAAGACGACAAGCCATCAGTAATAGGTAAAAAATAAATTAGTGGTTTTCCATATGGACCTCAAAATTCATAGCTATTATGAGCTATTTAGAATACAATTCATCTGCCTTCCAAAAAAAGCACACAAAAAAATTCCTCTCCTTGCCTTCCAGCTAAGGTGCATCCATACCCTAGGTGCCAAATTATATGAGGAAAGAAGGAAACAAATGCACAAAGAAGCCAATGCAGCCTTCATAAAATAAACAACTGGATTTGCTAGAGAGCGCTACAGAGAGGAAGGCACTGCCACAGATCTTCGGAGAGTGACTTTCTTCCCTAAATGGAGTGCACTGCTCTCCACTAACAGAAGAGTAGTGCCAATGCCTGAAAATCCCCCAAAGGGTGCAAAGCAGGAGGTCCGAATGTCTAACAGTTTGATGTTGGTAAATGAGCAGAATTTAGACAAAGTCAGTCCTGTGGTTTTAATATACCCTTAGCATCATTCAAAGGATATTTGTGCAGTATTGATATAGTGTTTCCTTGCAAAACACCCTGTTGCTTTATTAAGCCATGAAGTAATCAAGTCCTTCACAGAATTCGTAGTCAGTGATTTTAAGTGCGCTACAAGAATTACTGAAATTCCTCAGCCGATGTTATGAGGCAGCTCAGATGACTATAACATCATTTTATTACGTAAAAAACCACGCAACCCTACAACCACCTTTAAATCTTTCCTTTGACTCTAACTTGGAGCTGAGAAGTATTAAATAAGGTACGCAGTATGTAATTGCCATTTAGGTCAAAGGAGAAACTGCCTGTCCCATAAAATTTGGATCTTTAAAAATTCAGTAGCCATGCATGCTAGAAATTCTAGAGCACATTACTTAGAGCTGTGAAGGCTTCTCAGGTGCCCAAGAAGTTAATGAAAAAAATCCCGCTGATTTTGATAATGGAGGCCCAAGCCTCCAGTAGAAAATCTCAGTGAATCTTTGTTTCCAAACTCTATACAGTACCTTCACTAGATTTCATTATAGCTTTTGTAAGGCAGGTAGTGCATACTAAAGTTAGAAAAGTGTCCATCTTTCCCATTCAGGAGAAAGTGAAATAGGATTTGTGAATTTATTGTAATGAATTATGTTTCAAATGTACCACAAGTTTTAGGTGTGGAGCTAGGACTTGGACTAGTTCCAGTTTGCCAATTTTCATTAGTAATTCTTCTTTATCAATAGTCAGAGTATCACTGTGACATTCTTAAAGTCTCTGTTCAAAATACTCCTTGCATCTTTGTATGAGTACAGAGAGCTTATTAGGAAAATAAGGGCACATAGAGAAATGGGTATTTTTGGAAATGCAAATGCATATATTTATCGTAGGCTCTTCTGAACGGGCAAAGGTAAAGGTATCTGTAACATGAAGCATAGGATGAAGTCTCCTGTAACATTAATAACATTAAACATACAGTTTTTAAGGGTTCATTACCACAGGGCCTTTATTCCAGCCTCCTACAAAATAGAATATTCCCTTAGTTTCAGCCAGGAATTCAATGCAATCTATAAATCCTTCCACTGCTGTTTTATCACGACCTGCAGTGTTGAATCAACACTATCAGACATACTGTGTCCTTCCAAGGCATGAAGTCCTTCCATAGCAGTTTGCCTCACCCCTCTTCCAGTGAAAAGAGACTGTGAAGAAAATATCAACAGAAAATTTCTTTCTTCCCCTAGGGAACCCAAGATAAAACTGGTGTGCAGCACAAGGATACCCTTGGAGCAGCCCAGCATCTGGATCACAAAAGTGGATCTTGAAGAAAGCTTGACTTTCAAAGCTGTATAATAGCTAATAGTGAATTTATTAATTCAAGATTCAATTCATTAAGCTGGGCTAGTAATTATTTTTCCATCTGGCTTCACACTAGTATTATCTATGTAACAGCCGCCTCTCTTCACCACTCATAAATAAAAAAAATCTAAATGTAGATGAATTGTTCCAGTAAGATTTCACTTGGAGAGATATCCATGCAAATTATTCCCTGTTATTATAATTTTCCTAATTACTGTTCTGGATTAATAAAGAGGAGAAATTATAGTAAAATACAAACTGCTGCTGATACTTTTAATTATTGTATACAAATTGATATTAGTGGGAGTTACACATTTAAGTCAAGAAGAGAGGTGGAGAAACCATCATGAGTTGGGACTCATGTTTATGCTCACAGAGCACTGCAGATGGCAAGTCCCTGAAGTACCATAATCATCTTCAGAGTGCATTCAAAACAGTGAATATGAAAAAACAAATGCACTATGTATCACCTACTTCAGCCAAAGGAAAACAACCACACTCCAAGAGCTGTAGTATTCCAAGGAGCCCAGTCATTCTGAGATGATACATACCTGGACTACCATATCAAAAGGCAGGACACCAACGAGGCTTAGAGCTTTGTAGAACTAATTTGAAATTAATTACTTCCAGCCACTTAAAGATCATTTAACAACAGAAATATAATTATTAGTTTTAGATGCGAAATTACTTTGTAAAAATCTAAATTGTGTTTTGAATCAAGAAATGTTCAGTTGCCCTTAGATCTAAAATTTCTTTCCCCTTTATCTAAGCCTCACTGAAAGCCCATCCTTCCTTTCAATATTTCACATTTTACCAGAGTGCTGGGCAGAAAATGTATGCAAATGAAGCACTCCAAGAAGCACTTTTGCCTTTTCACCTGTAGGTGTGTAGAAACTGCTTTCTGCTCGCAATTTCCAGCATATGGTTTACAAAAGATAACTAATCATAAACCATTAATATCTTTTCCATTAAAAAAAAAAAAAAAGTAATAAATACACACTTCCAACTTTACGGAAAAGCCAAAACCTTTTAACCAACTTCTGCCCCAGCTACTTTAATGTTACAGATTCGCTTTTCATTTGCCTGGATTTATCAGTCACTTTTGTATTTTGCCTGCTGAACAAATGGCTTTATTAGCAGCTCCAACTTACAAGGAAAACATTTTTTTTTTTTTTTTTTTTTTTTTTTTTGTTCTACTCACATGAAAATCTAGCAAGGAAATATAGTAAAATCTAAAATTAAAAAACAGTAAACTACATCTCCTCTTCCTTCTTTCTTGTATTAAATTACATTTGCTGTATCTGTGTCTATATATTTATCCTTCTATGTAGAGAGAAAATAAAAACAAAGTAACAGAGAGAATTTGGGGTTTGACTACAACACTACTGTCCAGTTTTTCCTTTGCATGACTCTGGTACTGTGGGTGTCAATCTGATCTTCCATCTGAAACATCTTCTGTCTGGGAAGCCCAGAGATCATTCCTGTTGCTAGTACTTTACTTTCAGCCATAGCTAGAGATAAATGAGATAAATGCTTGGATCCAAGGCTTTAAACTTTACTTCAGACTTGTTTTTTCTGCTGATCCTGTCATCACCAGCCTGCAGCTTCTCTACCAGTCAGAAAATACTAGCAGCAACAGCTTAAAACATGAGAATACACTTGCTCCCATCTAGTGTCCCACCCAGTGCATGTCTAGCACCTGGCACACCTCTCACAACATGCTTGCTTGCAGCTGTACCTTTAATGCAAAAGCTGCATAAATTCTAAAATACATCAAATTATAATTTACAGATACAGCAACTGCAACAGTAAAGATGGTAAATGGAGAAAATCTTGAATACTTCAGCTGACGCTACATTACAGCTTATCTTTTCTTACCTTTGTAGTCCACTGGCTTTGCATTCTTTAGAAGTTCCATGCACCTTGTTTCCTCCTTGTGAATCTCCAGCTTAAATCTGCATTCTGGATGAACACCATTCACCTGTGTCAAATTAACAAACAGGCTAGGGTCTTGAAACACTAATTAAGATTCTTTATGAAGGATGCAACTAGTAATAATGAAAGCCACAACTTTAACTGGCACTGGTTTTGCCCAGGTATGTGCTAGGCATTTTACAGATCCAGTCATTGCCTATTTTAGCTTCTCACACGTTGACTTTTCAAAACAAAATGTCAAAATAATCTACTAGAGCGTTCACTGGCTCCTTCCTGCAGCATTTCAAGGCAGTTGTCATTTACAAGAAAATATTTAACTTTCTAGTGCATTCACCAATATTGTTTCATGAGTCTTTTACTCTGGAAAAACTGAGTCAAACTGAAGCAGGAAGGTAAACACATTTGCTTTTTTTTGGCTTTGGGGTAAGTTAGAATGCTGAAAGTTTAATACAAATCACAGAACCTGAAAACTGATCAAACTGCTTTTTCTTTGACATGGTAAATTTTTCTTTTCTTCCCTTTTCTACCATGTATATTTTATCTCCTGAAGGCCACAGAGCACAATTATCTGATTCAAGCAAGTGCTACACAGGAAGAAAACTCCACTCCTTGAAAAATTAAAGCACTATTGCCTTTACTTGTTTATAGCCCTGCCCCAAGTTCCTTCGTTTTCAGAAAAGGTTATTTATGTCCACGTGAAGAGACAGAGAAGTAACAGTATTGGGGAGAGAAACAAGACACCAGGAAGTTGTACTGAAGTCAGTTGGATTCACAGAAGCAGACAGAGTATAATAAAGAAACATGCAGAGTCTGTAAGAGACTGCATGGGAGAAATGACTGTAGTAGGTGACAAATGGGAAAGCAGGAAACATCACTGAAGCTGAAGGGACAGTGTGATTAGCTCAAATCAGATAGCATCATAACAAAGTAAAATGTGAATATGCAGTACTCCAGACATCCTCACACTTGTAGTTACCAAGAAAAGGGTGGTCTCTCCAAGTTTCTCCTTTCTCTCACTCTTTTTAAGAGACATTTAGTAACAGGATCTGGTTAAAAAAAAAAAACTCTTAAAAAAAAAAAAAATTAAAAATGGCAGTACTTAATTAATTAAGCTGTGATCATGGACCCAGAGTCCAGAGTTAGGACTGAGAACCTGGTTATTCTGCATGGACCCAGAGTCCAGAGTTAGAACTGAGAACCTGGTTATTCTGCAGTCTCCTTGTGGGCAAGCCACTTGTGCAGCTTTTAAAAATACGGTGTAATAGCCATCAGCATAACAGCAGGAGCTGTCATGAAAACTCACAAAAATCTGTCCCTTCTCCAAATGTCTCATTTTACCACCTACAATATCAGAACCTTACTTCCTTTCCCCATCTTTTCTCTACATTGACTATTGAAATTATGATTTTAGGGCAGATTTTTTTTTATTTTTTAAAGTGAATTTGTACAGATCCTTGACATAAATTAGGATTTCTAGCACTTACAATAGAAAGTTCAGTGTTATACTGAAAATATTTGTGGTTTGTTATGTATTATCTACTTTCCAGATAGCTCCCCTGGAAAATAAAGCCCCATGTATACATGATGGTTTTAATTGTATTTTCCTTTCACACAACAGATTTTGAATCTTTTCTTTTTTTACAGTTGTAAAAATTCAGTAACTGAGAGCAGATATCCTACTCATCAGAAAGTAGTATAATTACAGGATTTTGGAAAGGTAGGTTCCAGTAAATAAAAATGTTACCTAAATGAGGGATAAATCAAAGTTGCCACTGCAATTTAAGAAACCTGCCAAATAAATGACAGCTCTCTCTCATACTTCCAAAACAACTACAAGTTTCCCAGTACCAGTGATCTAATATCAAAGGTTACTCTGAGAACATAAATTTGTTAGCACACAAAGGTAACACAACATATACTTTGCAAACCTGGGATGCACACCAAACTGCAATAGACTTTGTTCTAATGTATACACCCGTTTCACTCAGATATACTTCAAACTAAAAAGATTTAGGGTGCAAGAGCACGTGGTACTGACCACATCCTGAAACACATCAAGAACCCCAAAATGGATTTTGAGGGCACTCACCACCTTGCAGGGCTGGTGCTCATCCACCTGTCCCTCTGCTTTACCAAGGGCAGGTTATCCTTTGTAACCACTGAGCGCAGAACCGTGTGCACTGTGTTGCACATTGTAAAGGTACAGTTAGCTGGAAATCCAGCTGAGGAGAGTCTCGGTAGTTTTAGCGATGTAACAGTTTTTGATGTGTCCAGAACAGCAGTTTGACTGGAAAAAAATTTCTTCTAACGAGCAGCTTAAATTTACCTTCAGCACGGTTTCCCGACTTTTGGTGGAAATCATCCATTATTTTAAAATTTACAGTATCAAAAAGTGGAAAGATTTAGAGGGCAATTTTTTATTAACCATGTTTCCAGCAACACTATAGACTTCTTCAGAAAACTGAAGACACGCTTAAAAACATATCGATGTTAAAAGCAGATGCCCTAAATTTGAAGTCTTCAATATTCTGAACGCTTTGTACGTTGTTACGCGGCTGCATCCATTAAAGAGAAATTCATGGTGCGGGTTTTTTTCCCCGTATTACGGTTACCAGGGACCCTCCACACCGTAGCAGGGCAGTGCTCTGTGAAAACTCTTCGCAAACTACCGGTGGCCACCGGCAGCCGGTGGGAGCAGCGGGGAAGAAGCGCTTGGGCGAGGAACGGCCCGACGCCGGGGACCGCGCTC